TGCTGCCCCTGCCGGCCGCCGCCTCCGAGCCCGCGGGGCTCAGCGAGCTGCAAGACCGCGTGCCGGGTGGGGACCCCGGGCCTGGAGGGGGAGGACCCCGGGCCTGGAAGGGGGGGACCCCGGGCTTGGAGGTGGGGCGACCCCGGGCCTGGAGGGGGACCCCAAGCCTGGAAGTGGGACCCCGGGCCTGGAGGGGGGTCGTCGAGCCTGGAGGAGGGTCGTCGAGCCTGGAGGAGGGTGACCCGGGCCTGGAGGGGGTCCCCGACCTTGGGGAGGGGAGATCCCGGGCCTGGAAGAGGGCACCCCGGGCCTGGAAGGGGGGCACCCTGAGCCTGGAGGGGGGACCACGGGCCTGGAGGGGGGGAACCCTGGTCCTGGTGGGGGGACCCTGGGCCTAGAGGGATGTCGTCGAGCCTGGAGGGCGTGACCCCAGGCCTGGAGGGGGGTCCCCGCGCTTGGAGAGGGTGGACCCGGGGCCTGGAGGAGGGTACCCTGGGCCTGGAAGGGGGCAACCCCGGGCCTGGAGGGGGAAACCCTCGTCCTGGAGGGGGGCCCCGGGCCTGGAAGGGGGGACCCTGGGCCTGGAACGGTGAACCCCGGGCTCGGAAGGCGGGACCCGGGGTCTGGAAGGGTAGACCCCGGGTCTGGAGGGGGGCACTATCATGCCCTCTGCCTCCTGGCTGGAAAACAACAACGCTCCCACAAATCACCAGCGTCCTGATCCTCGGACACGCAGTCCTGCACCTCTCACATGTCTCTCATTGTACAGATGAGTAAACTGAGGCACGGGACTGTCCCAGCACCTGCCTGAATGACTGGCAGAGGGAGGGACTGCACTGGGTGTACGCGGAGGGGTCCGACTGGCCTCGGGCGCCGGGAGATGTGAGTCAGGATCTGACGGGGACCCGAGAGAGCCAGTCCGGGAGGCTGGACCGGCCCGGCCGCCTCGGCTGGAAGGAAGACGTTGGGGCGCCTCAGGTCACTTTCCTCCGCATCTGAGAATCACCCGCAGCCGCAGCCGCAGCGCCCTCCTCCCACCCAGCTCTTCCTGCCCAGTGAGGAGACGTCTAAGAATTTGCAGCTCAAAGAACCCACAGAAGGGAAACCTAGATTTTGTGGGAACCTTCCCCCCCCCCGCCCCCGGTGAGCCATCCAGGCTGGCGAGCGCCCAGTAGATGACACGCAGTTTAGCAAGTGCGCCCACCTGTCGGCGGCGCGCACGTGTTGGGGTCTAGCCCCAGATGCGGGGGAGACTCCAAGTGTAGTCACGCCCATCACTCACCGGATGTCACTCAGACAGCCTTCCAGGACTAAAGTCCCCACCTTACCTGTGGGCTGCAAGACTTGGGCGGCCAGGCCAAGGCTGAGCAAAGAGGAGGTTTTCTCACTTCCCCTCTTAGGGAGCTCTGGTGGCCTAGTGGCGAGGAGGAGCTGCGCTGCCAACCTGAAGGCACGAGGTTCGAATCCACCAGCCAGCAGCTCCCCTGGAGGGTGGACAATTTGCTGCCTCTGAAAACCCGCTGGAGTTTCCGCTCTTGATCACTTTCCTCTTGGTGGGTCAGCTCTGACTCGATGGTACACAACACCTCCCCTCTGCCGTGGTTCTAGTCCAGCTCTCAGTATCTCACGTGGGGGCCGTGGGGGCCGGTGTTCCTGCCCCTTCCCTTGGTGGTCCTGCCCAACCAGGGGCCAGAGGAAATGGTTTGATTTGATCTTTGTTCCCATGTGTGAGGCTTGTCCCCATGCAGGGATCCTTGTACAGATGAGGAGACTGAGGCCCACAGAAGTGGACTGACTTGTCCCAGACACCAGTCTGAGACTGAAGCGCAAAGAGACCAACATGGAATGGCTCTGTGACCTGGATTCACGCACACAACCTCTCTAGCCGCCTTCTTTTTTATTTTTATTTATTGATTTATTTTTCTGAGCCTTCTTGAATCTGTGCCAGAGTGTTCATGGCCCATCGTAACACTGAGGCCAGTTGGACCTTGGAACCCTGAGCGCTGGACACCTGCAGATATCAGTGACGTGGGAGCCCGTGAGACCTGGTGTCTCTGAGTCCTGCCTCAGTGGAAACTGAGCTTCAAAGATCCTATATACAGGCTGTACCCTGCCTTCTGGAGCTGAGCTCACTCCTGTGTGAGCCACACCTGGTTGTCCAGGCAGTTCCTCTCTGGGAGGGGCAAGACCTGACTCAGTCAGGTGGGGCTGATGGGGGGTGGGGGGTGATACTGGCAGCTGTTCAAACAGAGCCCAAGTTTAGTGGGACTTTGGCCTCCCCTGCTATTGTGGGAGAACAGACCATGGGAAGATGAAGGCGGGAACAAGGGTCAGGGGAGAAGGATAGCATGGATCCAGGTTGGAGATGACAGAGGATGGCGGAGGAGACAGCAGGAAGTAGGTGGGTTTTGGGTGAAATGACTCACACCATGGCTGATCTTCTCCTCTCTTGCCCACCTGACCCCTTCTGCATCCCCTCTGGGTGTGTATGTCTCCCAGGAGTCCCTGGTGCAGTGGTTAAAGGTGTCAGTTGCCATCCAGTCAACCCCAGGTGTGTCAGGATGGAATGATTCCCCCCGGGGTTATTGATGATTTTTTCAAATCTCCGTTATGCAGATGACACAACCCTGCTTGCTGAAACTGAGAAGGACCTCATGCACTTGCTGCAGAGGGTCAAGGACTGCAGCCTTCAGTATGGACTGAGGCTCAATGTCAAGAAGACAAAGATTCTCACCACTGGACCAATTGGTAGCATCAGAATGGATGGTGAAGAGATTGAGATTGTTCACAGCTCCACGGTCAACACTCTTGGCACCAGCAGCCAGGAAGTAAAAAAAACATATTGCGATGGGAAAGTCTGTTAGGGACCTCTCTAAAGTACTCAAGAGCAACGGTGTCTCTCTGGAAACTAAGGTGTGCCTGATACAGGCCATGGTCTTTGCAATCACTTGTTATGCATCAGAGAGTTGGACAATGACTAGGGAGGACAGAAGGAGAATTGATGCCTTTGAGCTGTGGTGCTGGAGAAGAGTATTGAATGTACCAGGGACTGCCAAGAAAACAGATTCATCCTGGAGAGGATTAAACCAAGCAACTCCTTGGAGGCAAGGATTCTGGGTCTTCGTCTGACATACTTTGGGCATGTTGCAAGGAGGGACAGGTCCTTGGAGAGGGACATCATGCTTGGGAGGGTGGAGGGACAGCGCAGGAGGGGAAGGCCCTCTATGAGGTGGATTGATTCAGTGACTGGGGTAATTGTGATGGGTGTGTCAGAGGCAGTGCGATTGGCACAGGATAGAGCAGGGTTTAGGGCTGCTGTACATAGGGTCGTTATGAGTCGCAAACGACTCGATGGCACATAACAACAACAACCAGGTTGCCAGGCCTTTCTTCCAGGGCACCTCTTCCAGGGTGGATTTGAAGCGCCGTTAGCCTCTTGGACCATAAAGTTGGCTCTCCACAGGTACATGTGTCTGGGTTTCTCCTTTGCATTTCCTGACTCAATGTTTAGTGAAGGAAAAAGCCTTGGTAGTGCAGTGGTCAAGTGCGCGGCTGCTAGCCAAAGGGTTGGCAGTTTGAATCCACCAGCAGCCCCACAGGAGACAGATGCAGCTGTTAGAAACCCTGTGGGCATGCTGCTTCATGGTCACTGGACCAGGATCAACTTCATAACACTGGATAGCATCTGTTCATGGTTTAGGTCCTTGGAACGTGACCACCCCACTTCCCTGCTGAAGCAGGGTCCAGGTCTCCTCTGGCTCCCCTACCCGAGCCCCCAATCCCCACACCTTCGACTGGTACTGCCTTGTCCTGTGGTATCTGTCTCCCATTAATGTCAGCTCCGTGAGGGGTAGTCCTCACTGCCACATTCCCTGCAACCAGTGCAGAGCTGTGTATATAACAAGTGGTCAGTAAGTGAATGAGTGAGGCAGGGTGATACAGGGCCCAGTGGTCAGAGGACCTCAGTGCTTCCCAGAAACCCAGAGCAACTCAAATTCCTTGCAGCGGAGTCCATTCTGATGTACGGCGACCCTACAGGACAGAGTCGAGCGGCACCACGGGCTTTCTGCTTTCCAGCGCTGTCACCTTTATAGAAAGACGTTGTTACCCATTCCTCCCTCCTAGCAGCGGATGAGTTCAAACCACCGACTTTCCCCTTAAGACTCCAACTCAATCTGCTCAGCTCACAGCGTGAGCAGAACCCCGAGCCCCTCGGGCTACCAAACTGCGGTCCACTGGTAAGCGGGAGGTTGGCTGCCCACCACCCTCTGGGAATGGTGGGGACCAGCCAGCCCTGGACACAGACCCTGATGCCAGCTCTCCCACCAGGCCCACAGGCAGGGACCCTCTTTCTGATGAGGAGAGAGGAAAGTTGGGAGAGCATGGTTAAGGAGAGCAGGCCTCTAGGGCTATCCTTTCAACAAAGCTAAGCACCTGCTACTGTGCGAGCTCCAACCCAACCAGGAGGGTGTGTCAGTGTCACAATCAAGACTCCCTGAGGACCAGCCACTGGCTTCGATCTCAAGACCTTCCAGGGGCAGAGCTTGCACCCGTGAGGCCGCTATCTGCAGGCCCAGCTCTGCCCTTGTTCTTCACATACACCTTGGCAACTTGAATGAATGAATGAAGGA